CGATCATGATGAACCAGATTCTTGGCTATAATGATGGCAGCTTGATTATTACAGTGTAATTCCATAGGATGCTCCAAGGTGACCTTTAATTCTAACAATAATCTTTGTAACCAAATTCCTTCACAAATTCCCTATGCCATAGCTCGAAATTCTGCTTCTGCGCTACTACGGGCTACAACTTATTGCTTCTTGCTTCTCCAAGTCACCAAGTTTCCCCACACATAAGAACAATATCCACAAGTTGATCGTCGATCTGTAATGGATTATGCCCAATTTGCATCTGAATAAACTTTGATATTTTTCTTAGAAGTTATTGAGAAGAATAAATCCTTACCCGGAGTCATCTTGAGATATTTCAGAATTTTGTACACAGCAGTCATATGTCTCTCCATCGGGCAATTCATGAACTGGCTAACTACAATGACGGAGAAACCGATGTCAAGTCTAGTGCAGAAGAGATAGATGAGTTTCCCCATAAGGCGTTGATAACGTCCCTTGTCGACAGAAGCACTTCCATCATTAACTTCAAGCTTGATTGTTGGATCCATGGGGTTTCGACAGGTTTACAACCATACATTCCCGTTTCACTCAACAAATCCAGAACATACTTACGTTGGGAGATAGAGATGCCTTTCCTTAACCTACCAATTTCCATCCCCAAGAAGTACTTGAGATTCCCTAGGTCCTTCATCTCAAATTCTTTATCCAAGAATTGTTTGAGAAGTCTAATTTCTTCCTCATGGTCACCTATCAGAATGATGTCGTCCACATAAACAATAATAAATGTCATCTTCCCTTCAGGGAAGTACTTCACAGACAGAGTATGGTCAGATTGACACTGGGAATATCCATAACCTTTTATTGCTTTAGTAAATCTCTCAAACCATGCCCGCAGAGATTGCTTGAGTCCATACAAGGATTTTCGAAGTCTACAAACCTTGTTGGAGTTAGATGATGTCTCAAGCCCGTCAGGAATATCCATATAGACTTCTTCCTCTAGATCATCATTGAGAATGGCGTTCTTCACATCCAGTTGATGCAAATACCAATTAAGATTAGCTACCAAGGATAAAAGTATACGAACAGTGTTGAGCTTGGCAACTGGACCAACAGTTTCTTGATAGTCAATGTCATAGGATTGGGTGAATCCTTTGGCAACCAAACGAGCTTTATACTTGTCCACACTACCATCCGCCTTATATTTCACTGTGAAGATCCACTTACACCCAACAGTTTTCTTACTTCTCGGAATATCAGTAATTTCCCAAGTTCCATTCTTTCTTAGTGTGTGAATCTCTTCATTAACGGCAACCTGCCACTTAGGACACTCAAAAGCTTCCTGAATATTGTGAGGAACATGTATCTCTATAAGACTACTAGTGAAGGCATGAAAAGAAAGAGACAAACCATCATATGAAATAAGTTTCCAATAGGATGTTGAGTGCATGACCAAACCCTTTTTCTCCATGCTATAGGCATATCTAGGATCTCATTTTCTAACTCAGAATCAATAGAGCCATCTAAGTTAGAACTATTGCCCAGAATTTTGGGAGGATTAAGACTTGGTTCAGCTTCATGGTTTTGTTGAGGAAGTGTTTTTTCCTCTGTTTCCTCTTGGATGTACTCAGTATCCCGCAAATCAATAATGAACTTGGTGTTTTCGGTAGGTAGAGGCTGACTAAATGACTAGAGGAATGTGATTTTCTGTGGTGATGGGTGACTCTAGGAATGACTCAAAGTCCCAAAACTGATATTCCTTAGTTGAGTTCTCCTCTTGAATATCAATTTTGGGGTAGTATGGATGATTCTCAAAAAAGGTGACGTCCATTGAATTATAGAATTTTCTTGTGACGGGAGAGTAACACTTATACCCTTTTTTATTTGTTGAATACCCAAGGAAGATGCACTTAAGTGACCTAAGATCAAGTTTACTTCTATCTTGTTGATGGACATGGACAAAGACAGAGCATCCAAAAATTTTAGGGGGAATAATGGAAATGGGACGAGTAGTCGAAAAAGATTTTAGAAGGGTTTGACATGGTGTTTGAAATTTTAGCACCCTAGATGGCATCTTATTGATAAGATATACTACTGTAAGAATGGCTTCCCCCTAGAACAATTTAGGTACATTTGTGGAGAACATTAGCAACCTAGGTACCTCTAACAAATCTCTATTTGTCCTTTTAGCAACTCAGTTTTGTTATGGGGTGTCTACACAGGAACTTAAGTGAATTATCCCTTCTTTTGATAGGAATTCCCCTAGAACGACATTGAAGTAAACTCTAACATTATCAGACTTTAGGATTTGGATTTGGATTTGTGATTGGAATTGAGTTTGAATCATATTTTTGAAATTTTTAAAGATTTGACTTGTTTCTTATTTGCCTTTCATAAGAAACACCCCAGTCAATCTAGTATGATCATCTATGAATCAGACAAACCACCTAGCACCCATTACATTTTTATTTTTTGACAGACCCCGATATTGTTGTGAATCATAGAGAATGGTCTAGATGCTTTATAGGGTTGAATAGGAAAATGAGATCGGACATGCTTGGATAATTGACAGATTTCACACTCAAGAGATTTTGGATTTTTTATTAAATAATGAAAGAATAAACATTTGAGGTACATAAAATTGGCATGACCTAAACGATAGTGCCATAACATAACAGTACTATCATTATTTTGACGAAATACTGAAAAAGAACTAACGTTAACTATCATTTGAGGTTGTTCTCATGAAAGGGGGCATTCTTTAAAGATATAGAGTCTAGAGCACTCCTCAGCATTGTCAATCGTCTTCCCCAAATCCAAATCCTAAAATTCACAATGAATGGAGAAAAAATTAGTAACACACCTCTTTTCCTTAATAAGTTTACTAATTGACAACAAATTACAATCTAAGTTAGGAACAAAAAGAACAGAATTGAGTGTAATATCCTTTGATAACACAACTAAACTTTTACCAGTAACCTTTGATAGTGAACCATCTGCTATTCTAACCATTAAATTATTTGGACATGAGTTAAATGTATTAAAAACCATTGCATCCCCCATCATATGATCAGATGCTTCTGACTCCACAATCCAAGGTTTGTCTTGTTTCTTATACACAGAAAAAACGCTCATAGAATTACCTTTGTGAGCTAGGGTTCCAGAACTAATGACATGATTTGAAGACGAACCGGTTTGTGACTGAGTAGACAAAAGAGGAGACAATAATTTTTGAAGCATCTCCCTTTGTTCCTTGTTAAAAGGACTTACTTTAGGTGATGGTGGCTCCTTTGTGGAGGTGTGATCTCCTCAGCCTTTTTTCTCTATCTGACGTGATGGCTTCCAATCAAATGGCTTCCCATGTAATTTCCAGCATATTTCCCTCAAATGTCCTAGTTTTCTACAATGATCACACCAAGGCCTTCCTCTTTTGTTTTTTTGACGATTATCTGAACGGGCAAATTGAGTTCCCTTAGTGAAAAAAGCAAAGTTTTCAACTACATTCGGATGTTGAGATGACCCCATCATGACTTTCTTTCTACTTTCTTCCCATTGGACTTCAGAGAAAGCTTCTCTAAGACTAGGTGATGTCTTTGCTCCCATGAGTCTCCCACGAACATCATCAAGATTTTTATTCAAACCTAGCAAAAACTTGTAAACACATTTTTTCTCTACAATCATTTTGTACTGTAATCCATCAGTAGTACATGACCAATTATGAACCTCATACATATCAAGTTGACACCAATTGCGAGTAAGAAAACTAAAATATTGAGTTATCATAAGATCCCCTTGTCGCAGATCATGGAGAATCCCTTCAATCTTTGCCACCTCTGAAGTGTTCTCAATGTCGGAGTAAGTCTCCTTGGATGCACCCCAGATCTCCTTAGCAGTTTCAAATGCCAGAAAATTCTCGCCAATGTCCATATTCATTAAGTTGTCAAGCCATGACATCACCATGTTGTTTTTTGCCAACCACCTCTTGTAGGTAGGAGCCGTTGGATCTAGGGCTGCAAAATCACCAATAAGGTAGTCGTATTTCTCTTTCTCCCAAATAAACATTAAGAGGGATTGAGACATAGGACATAATTCTGTCCATTTAATTTATGAAAGGTAATACGAACATTGGAGGCTTCCATATTGTGAAGAAAAGGAGATGAAGGAGACGCAAAGATAACGAGTAGAAAAAACTCGATGATGAAGATTAAAGAGACAAGATTAAACTTGCTCTGATACCATATAGAAAATAAAGACTTAAAGAAGGAGGAAACATAGACTCTATTTCTTCTTGTGATATTCTTATTGAATAAAGAAGACATAAATAAATAGGTTATAAGGGTGAGACAATTCTAGAAATGAATCTCTCTTAAAGGAAAAAATAAAAATAAATCAGGAAGATTTGGCAATTAGGAATTCAATCATCTTGTAAAAGGGAAAGAATAATTAAGAAATAAAAAACTCTTAAAATAATAAAAACTCCTGAAAAACAAGATACATTAGCTAATACATAATAAGAAAACAAAACAACCAAATAAACACAGTCAATGGCTTGACTTTCAACAATCACATACATCATGAAGGCATGCATACACATTCTTGAGGATGGGACATAAGATACATAAAACCTTTGTTGAAAACATGCTTCCCCTATATCATGGTGCTATTTCTACTACTCTTTCCATAATTTATTGTCGAAGACGACCCCTTCAATCAGGCAAATCACATGGCCTGTTCCCATTCCACCTAATCAAACGGCCAGGATCAAATCCTACCAAATCATCAAAGCAACCAACAGCCCTTCGATCTGTCCCATTTCCAACTTATGGTGCCGACCTTTTACAGTGTTTCAAGGGGGCACAAAGTCCCCACGTTTGCCTCTCATGTGACCGACCACTTAACCCTTAGTTGACCTGTCACTTCTCCCACTATGTTTATTAATTTTCTCTTCTTATAATCTTTGTATAAAACCCTCTCCATTTCTTAACCAAACTCTTCATTGAATCATACCAACAACGAAAAAAAAAAAAAAGTTGTTTAAAAAATTAAAAATTAAACAATTCTTCTAACCAAATGGAGAAACAAGGTCTGGAACTTGAAATTACAGAGCTTAGATTAGGTCTTCCAGGCGGCGGTGACAACAAGATTAATGAGAAGAAAAGGGTTTTCTCGGATATCTCAGCAGATGAAGCGAATGCCACAAACGATGATCGGAAAATTCATACGAAGAGCCAAGTCGTGGGGTGGCCGCCGGTGTGTTCCTATCGGAAGAAGAACAGTTTTAACGAGAAAGATCGCCTGGAAACATCGAAAATGTACGTGAAAGTTAGCATGGATGGGGCTCCTTTTCTTCGTAAAATTGATTTGGGGATGCACAAAGGTTACTCGGATCTTGCCATGGCGTTGGAGAAGCTCTTTGGTTGTTTCGGCATAAGTAAGTGTTCCTCTCGTTTTTGTTATCTGTGGGAAAAAAAAAAAAAAATTGAAACTAGAAACTAGTTTAACATGTTTATAATTAGCCATGCAAAATTAAATTTATTTAATATGATTATAAATTAGTTTATTTAGGCTTTATTCTTAAAAGATAAATACATAATGGAAAAATGGAAACGATTTGCAAAATTAAACTTCCTTTATTAGTTCAGATATTAGAATTTTAACTGAATGAAGAAATAATAATAATAATTTTGAAAGTTTATTTGCATGGGAGTTAATTAAAAAGGATATAGGGAAAGATAAAAGAAATTTTGCCCACTAATATTTTCTAATTAATTTGTCATATTAATTTTAAAATTATATTTTCTAGATTAATGTTCTTATTGTTCTTAAATGAACAGAAAATACAATCCAAATCAAATGAACAAATTGGAGAAAATATAGTAATATATAGCTGAAAAATTAGGATATAAATCCAACAATTTAATCAGGATAATACTTGTAGTCTTCCAACTGTAAATTGAAAATCGAGCCTCAAATTTATGCATGCCTAAATGAAGAGAAATAATTAATTACCAAAACCATCCATGATTGAGTGGTTCGATAGGGATTTTGAACCTATTACTCAAGAGATCCTAAGTTTGAATCTTGCCTTAATTACTAATATAAATAATCAAGAGATCCTAAGTTTGAATCTTGCCTCAATTACTAATATAAATAACTACTGAAACTCTTATCCGATTGATAGTTTATCCAGACTGTCTAATAAAAAAAATAGTTAATTAATGTTAATATTTGGCCTACATTGTTTGACAGGTGAGGCATTAAAGGATGCAGACAGCTCTGAATTTTCTCCCATTTATGAAGACAGAGATGGAGACTGGATGTTAGCAGGAGACGTACCTTGGGAGTAAGTCTCTTCTTCAACCGTAATCTATCATTATCAAACTAAATATGAAACAACTACAGTAATTCTCTCATCTAGATTCAGGTTTACTTAGAACAAATAGAATTCCAGAGATTTTTTTTTTTTTTTTGTTTACTTCTAAAATATATTTTAGATATTATCACCAAGCACATATTTAATGTTAGTATTACAGAAAAATTCTTGAAAAAAATATCTCAGATCTGAGTAACATAAAATTTAATTTTTCATATTTTTATTTCTAAGAAATTTGTTTACAATTTTTTTTATAGTTCTTGTAATTATATCTTAGATGAGAAATATTTCACTTTATGAAAACGAAAATGGCAAATGTGTCATTTGACTATTCTTACTTCACGCGGGTTCTTTTTATGTTGGACGTCATTCTGCCGACACAAGGAAGTTTCTTCATAATAGTGTCGGTCAGATGACAATATTGTCCTTCAAAGACCATGCTTGGTCATGGTCATGGTCAAGCCAGAAATTATTACCACTGTGAATGTGAGTGGTGATGAAGACTCTTGGCCACAACATCAATAATATATCATCTATTTTTCAAACACCACCTGGTTTTAGTTTTTATCTTTAATTATGGTCATCAAGATGTTTAATACCATTAATTAAGCTCATAATTAATAGGTTATTATTGATTTACAGGATGTTTATTGAATCATGCAAGAGGCTAAGGATCATGAAGTGATCAGAGGCCAAGGGATTTGGGTTGCAGCCAAGTGGTGCTCTCAAGGGAATTTCGAAAAATGACAAGTGATTTGAAGTTGATCGATCATTTTCGTATACAGTTGATTAATTTCTGTTTGATGTTGTTTATTTATTTGATCAAGAAGACTATGACTCTTTTACGTCTTATAGCTAAACTGGGAATGGGATAGAACCCTTGATAGGAAAGATCATTTTCCTTTTTCATATCATTTGATCTTGTTATTTGTTAATTAATTGTATCTGTTTAAGATATAACCAATTTGTTCTTGATTATGGATACATAACCTTAACTGCTTACGTGGTTCCAGTTATATTAAAGATAATTAATATTTACTAATGTAATGAATAAGATAGCGATTGAAAACCCTAATAATCGTGGAATGAGATGTACTTAATATGCATGATTAAGCATTGTTTGAAAAGGAAAACTCTAATGTGAACTCCTTTTATCTTTGTATTCACTTTACGTATATTAAATTTGATTAAACATATGGTTGATTAATTTTTGTGATGTTTATATAACGGTCGATGTTTGTACTATGACGAACAAATAGTAATTAATTAAAGTAACAATTGTTCCCAAAATCATTACAAGAGACCCTCATAATAAGGTATTCTTTAAATAAAAATATATATATATATAACATTGGGACTATACTTAATTAATCCAATCCCTAATTTTATTAATGGAATGAGTAAACAACTTTTTCCCACTCAAAAAGTTTCAAAATACCAATTAACTAACCAAAGTTTATATTCTGAAAAATCACCGGCTGATTCTGGCATCGTTATAATCTTACATCATCACCATTCTTTTCTTCTATTATCACTGATCAAAACCTCTCAAACCCTACTCCCGCTGATCGCCAAAAATCGAACGATTTGCAGAACTCATAGTCATCCCTCCCAAGTTAGATTCTGACCAATCCCGACCACCAAAATCTAACCTTCTACCGCCAATATACTCACCAGCATCCCCTCTTCAAAATCCCCAACAGCTTGGATCGATTTTACTCTCCGTTCGTCGACAAATCAAAAAGTGTATTCTAGGTAGTAAAAGGAATATAAACTTTGGAGAGTAAATTGATATTTTGAAACTTTTTAGTTTTAAAAGTTGATTAAGGCAAACCTTGGGTGGAATCAAGAAAACTTGTCAACTTAATCCAAGACACATGCCCAATGCATAATGTCAAGAGAATTATTAAGTGGAGAATTTTTATGAAGAAAACCCATGTTCTCATATTCTTCTATAATCCTTATTTTATTAAGTAATTAAACACGATTAGTGGATCAACGTTGAACCCTAACTAGTTTACTTCCTGGTACAGAATCTATTCTGCATTTCTTATCAAACAAAACATATTTTAATTTCCAAGTACCAACTAACTAACCTAGACTTTTTTTTTTTTTTTTTTAAATTTTATTTCCGACATAATGCAGTTGGATTGGTTATCGAGATCATTTTTAAATTATATTATAGAATAGTAAATTAATAAGCATAAAGTATCTCAAATCGTTCATCTTCATTGACTCATCAGGAAACACTCCTTATCTTGAAAATTTTCCACTTATATAATAGATATTAATTTTGGATTTTTTTTATTTTTTTATTCTTCACAATGTGACAATATTTGTGAATGAAATCAATATATTCTCAATACTAGAGAGCATATTTAAAGTATACTATAAATGATATGATAAATTTATATAATCTCAATCATTTAATTCTAATCACAATATTTTCATCGACGCTGATGACAATCTTGATAAAAAAAATTCCTTCATTTGTTGATGCAATAAGACATTAGTGAACAATAAACATTATACGATGCCATGAAATGTCATCTTTGGCACCTTTCAGCATCAAAGTTTACCTTTCACAATCATTAGAAATCGTATTTTGTGATACAATAAAAAAAATAAAAAAAAGATACTCCAATGTTGTATTATTGGTAGTTGATAATTTAACACTAAATCTGTCTAAATAAATAAGGCATATAATATATAGTTTTGCTGAGATTCATATGTTGGGTAGGTTCACTAATCACTAAATAAACAAATCTTTCTCCATTATCAACGCAATCTCCATTAATACTTTAGAAATAAGTGAAGCCATGAATGGTGTAATCTTTGACTGTCTCTTTGCAACGAACTTAGATTTTTATATATAACCAATTGGTTAATTAATTAATAAAAAAGTTAAGTGGGTTGTTAATTAATTTGGAATCAACAGACAAACTGAAACAGTTCGTTGCATAAGGCATAATAAGGTCCACTGAACAGATTCAATATGTAAGTGGAGTGCAACAAATAATTAATCAGAGTAAATTCAGTTAAGGTTTCTTTTTAGTTAATCCATGAATATATTAATGAAACTCACTAATTAATCATATTTTAGTGAGTAATTAAATATTTAAATATATAAAACATGGGAAATGCTAACAACTTCTGTTACTGTTAGAAATTCATATTCGTTCCAGTTATCTTACTATATTTGGTCAGTTAAACGTTATTCGTTACCCTAGAAAACGAATATGCTTAACAAAAGAATAAAATATTTAATTTTGGATATTTCTCTAAAAACCTCTGTTTAATACACTTTATATAAACTTAATTATATCATAATAAAACAATTAATTTCTGTAAAAGTATCTCATATTATAGACTTTTGATCATGAAAATGGGCCTGCAAAATATAGACAAGATTTTGAAAATTATTTCGTGAGAAGCTTTGGAGAGACAAGTATATATATCTATTGAAACCTACTATGTATTAAATAAAACAAAAAATATTTGTTTTTTATTTGGATTTGAAAATAATTTTCTAAAGGAATTTGTTTTAATAACTGGCGTGTATGAGTCAACTTACCCGCAATAAATTATAGGCAAAGATACTATTTATAAAATCATCTTGATTAAATATCTTTTTTAAAAGATTTTTATATCCTTTATATTAAAATAAGGAATTACATATATAGGGGTACACAAAATTACCATAATTTAATTTTGTGTAGTTTGAATTAGATCATAGAAATGAAAAACCCTAATTACATTTAAGAGATTAATCCCTAAAATCTAAATTTAGACATGAAGATTAATTAGTGAATTAATATTAAGTTGCAGATTAACCTTAAGTTTCACATGTTAATTAAACAGCCTGTCTTACCTTAAAAGATGTGAATGAACATTATGTTATGGTTGGTCACAGTAATGGCTTAGCTATGAGAAGTAATTATGTGACCATATATTAAAAAGAGCCAAAAAAAAAAATTGATGGTTGGCTTTGATATATATAAATAATAATAATAATTTCAAAAAAAATTAAATTTGATGTGTATGTCTAATCAAAACAAGAAAACTAAGTATATTTAGGTGAGACATTTGTGAAAATTGATTAATGGATTATCAATTAATTTCTGTACACAACTTGCCTTTGATGATTCCTTTACTTTTATTGCATGCTTACCCTTTAAAGGCAAATTATAAATGTCATTTAATGACTCTAAATTCAATCCATCTGACAACTAGCGGTGAGCATGGGTAAAGGGTAGAATCGGAATCGGAATCGACCCAAATAAAGTCGATTCCGGTTCCAAATTTTGATGAACCGGCCTTATGCAGGTTTGGGTCCGATTCCACCACTTCAGGAACCAGACACAAAATCAAGAACCGGACCCAGACCTAGAACCGAGGTCTAGGTATCTAGATTCTGGAATGTATTTGTAATTTTTATAAATTATAGGGGTGTGTTTATAATTTTTAGGAATATATTTGTCATTTTTTAGACTATCAAGGGGTATGAAAATTTACAAGGTGCCCGGAACCTTTGATTCTAGGTATCCAGGAACCAGAACCAATCGGTTCCTGTTCCTTAGAATTGGGTCGGGTACCCGAACCCGCTCACCCCTAGACTGGCAACCCATTAAGTTATAAGAATAAATTCTATATATTTAGAGGATTTATTGAATAAATTTATAATCAAATAAAGAATAAAATCTAAATTATATTGAAACAAATTGATTATGATCAATTAAAATCAGAATTGTCCCCTCATAAAAAGTTGGGGGGTATGAGTCTTTATAGAAGTAATTAGTATATAATTCAAAAGAAATAAAATAAAACCATATATTTGGTAAAATAATGAAGCACCTAATTCTCTCACTAATGATGTTTACACAATGATTAATTAGTTGATAATGTGAAATCTTGTTAGATTATGATCATGTTGAACAAAGGTTGTTGTTCTTGATTATTATTATTAGTTATATAATTAAAGTAAAAAACTATGATTAAGGAGAGCTTAATTTCTCAATAACCAAATTGAAATATAAAAATTGGGACATTAAAGAGACAAGAATTTTTTTATAAAGATTCATACATATGGTCAAATAAATCAAATGTTCTAATTTCTCTATCTAATGATGTAGATTTTTTTGTTTATTACAAGTGGTAAGATAAACAATTATTTTTTAAATAAAAAAAAAGGAGACAAAATAATCATTTCTAAAATTGAAAGAAATTAAATAATAAAACATTAGACCATTTAATATTTTAATGGGAAATTTCTATGAATGTTATGAAAAGCAAGTGGTTATAATGACTTTAGCTTTTTTTTTTTTTTTTTTTTTGGGGGGGGGTGATTGAGGTAGGGTCAGCTTACAGCTCTTTGTCTAATCTTTCGGAACTTTAAAGTTAACGACCAAGTAAACCTTATCATACTCACCCTTATTAGTAATTAAAGAGAATTAAATTCTAAATCTTTTGACTCTTAAGTAATACATCCAAAAATCTTTATCGTCTCATTTGATTATCTAAAAATGGTTAATGCACTCTAGTTATCTCTCCTTTTTTAACTTTACTTTTTTTAAGGAGGGATAATTAGTATTGTGAAATTTTAAATATTTTGAATTAAATTATTAAAAATAATTGGAAATTTTATTTAAATTAAATGATAAATTGAAAAGAAAAATGAAAAGAAAAAGAAATGTTAGAAGGGAAGTTGATTAGCGAGTACAGACAAAGAAACATGATCACATGGATGTCTGTCTGGTGGGACCCAAATTTTCCAAAGTTGACTTTCGGTGCCCTTACAACTCAACACGTGTCATATGTCATCCCCACCACTCTTTTCCTGCACCTTCCACCACGAGCTCCTAGTCCTCATGGGCTTCCGAATTTTGATCCGCTGTTTAACCCTGCATCACATCATGTGTATTCAGTAACCTGGCAAATGGGTTTAGACCCGCGGGTTGGCCCGTATTCGGGTAAAAAATACAAGATATGGGCTAAAATATTATACCCAATTTTTTGGACCCGTACCGGCCCGGCCCGTACAACTGACGGGTTATACGGGTGAACCCGCGGGCACCCGTTTTTCAAAGGAATCCCTAATTTTACTTTTTATCACGCCATCTCTCATTTTTCACTCTCAGTCTCAGTTACTCTATGGCGGCCGCATCTCATCTCTCAACTCTCAGCAACTCAAGTATCCTTGTCGGCTCATCTCCTCTCTCTGACGCTGGTAAACATTCGAGTGCTGCAAGGAATTAGCAGAAGCAGTGGGTGAAGATAAATGTTATTCTGGTTCATAACTTTAATTTTGTGTATTGGGTTCTTGAATTGATAAACGTATGGCAGTAGAGAACGTGACTAGGTTATTCTTGCCAGTTCTTTTTGATTGCTTTGCAGCAGGTGCAGAGAAGATAAGAGAGAGAGTAAGGAATCGGTTTTCCAATACGTTTTATTGAAAGCTCTCTAAAACCCCAACTTTGATTTTCTTTCTATCTATCATCTGATTCTGATCCAATATGTACTTTGGTTTGTCTCTTTCGTGTGTCCACTTACTTTGTTAAATTGATGGGCGAAAAGAAAACACATTGATAGCCTTCAGCCCTTCACCTAACTGTCTATCATCTTCTGCATTTGCATTTGTTTCTATCCATCATTTTGATTCTTGAGCTGATCTTCACTATCATAAAACCGCTGCTGAGAATGGTTACTGATGTGTGAATTGAAACGCGATACATTTATGAGTATTTGGTTTAGAGTATCATTTCAATTTCTTTTCTTTTATGATAAATATATAAAAGTTTCAATCTCGGTATGAAATTTTGATGAAGTTCGTTCTCTCTCTCTCTCTCTTGGGTCCACAATCGTAATTGATCTGTGCAACTTCTGAAAGCGCGCATCTGTGCAACTTCTGTTAGGGGTGAAACTGTCAAAACCGAAAGCTGGAGAGAGAAAAAACGGTCCACCCGCGGGTCCATCCGTACCCGTATAGGGTAGGTCACGGGTCCAAAATATTTGACCCGTATAAATCCATCCGTATAAGACTCGTACCCGTTTTATCCGTACCCGTTTTACCCGGCCCACCCACCCGTTTTGCCAAGTCTAGTATTCAGTATTACTTCCTTGTTCTATATGTCGACATACAACTCCAATTTCTCTAATATTATTATTATTTTTTTTTCATCAAAATTATCATTCAATATTACATCCAAAAATAAAAATAAAAATTTTTCAAAAAAAATTCTCAGTCAACAACTTTAATAAAATTATTTGTTATTTTATTGTTTATATGCAACATCGCAATTTTAATCAGACTATTTATTAAATCAGTAGGTAAATTGATTTAAATAAATATGACTTAATTTTTTAACTTAATTTGTTTAATAATATTACTAGATATATACAATAATATTTTTTTAAATAATTTTCTATAATATTGAGTTAGTATAGTAGAAGAAGAAAATAAAATTAAAAGAATCGAAGTAAAAAAAAAATGGAAATCAACTATTAGTTCTGTTGATATTTTCGGGTCCACCCGAATCCATTATTGCTTAATGTGACGAGACACCGGGCCCATTACCATAATAAAAAAAAAAAAAAATTAAAACCTCAGAGGTATGAAAGCGACCAGGTACTCAAAATCACACGCTTCCCGTCACGTACTGTCACCTACTTGGACAAATCGTAACCGCTGTTTTACAAAACGTGTCCATCTGGGAGTGGTTCCATTATACTGCCGGCCACATTTCTCCTTTATATAAGCTAACTAAACAAACCAACTGAAGCTACAGGTATTGTGTTAGAAGTCTTGGACTTGGTCACATATAATAAAAAAAAAATGTCACCGGAAAATGTTAATTGTTTGCCGGAATCCGACGTCAAATTGACCTTGGGATTGCCGGGCAGTGGACGCATTCCGTCGAAACCCGGGATGAAACGTGGGTTCTTGGAAACCGTTGATCTAAACCTTGAGCTTGATCAAGAGGTTGCAGCTAAACCTCCTGCGGCAAAGTAAGATTTTTGACATTTTATATTCATTTCATGCATTGATTTTATGGTAAAGTTGTGAAATTTATGCCAAAGTTTAAATTTTTGTGATGATAATAGGGCGCAAGTGGTGGGGTGGCCGCCGGTGAGGTCGTTCAGGAAGAATGCAATGAAGAGTTGCAAGTATGTGAAGGTGGCTGTGGATGGAGCTCCTTATTTGAGAAAGGTGGATTTGGAGATTTACAGTAGTTATCAGGAACTGTTGAACGCTCTTGAAGAAATGTTCTCGTGTTTGACCATTTGGAATTATTTGAATGAGAGGAAGATAATGGACAATGTAAACGGAATGGAATATGTTCCAACTTATGAAGACAAGGATGGCGACTGGATGTTGGTTGGAGATGTGCCATGGAAGTAAGTTTAAAAAGTTATTTAGATTGAAAAGATTCGATTGCTTTAAAGTTTTGTTTGATTTGTTCTTGATATTGATCTTTGATCCTTCTTGTTTTTTTTCAGAATGTTTGTTGAATCGTGCAAGCGTCTAAGGTTGATGAAAAGCTCAGAGGCAATTGGATTAGGTAGTTTTATCAATTAATCTACTATACATTAATCAGTTATTTTTTTTAATCTAAGAGGAAATGAATGAGAATGTTACTGATTTTTTTTCTGTTTTGTTGATATGCAGCTCCTAGAACACCTTCAAAGAACTCTAGTACAAGTTGAAGGATTAAACACTAATTCTTGGGAGTGACAGTTGCTGTACAGTAGAGATCATCAGGCTTTTATGGTTTCATTTCGATACGAATCCCATTTGTTTTTGTGGGAGAGTTTTGATTAGAAATACAGATTGTTAGCAAAATAAAAGATCCTTAGCTACCTGTAATTACCAGAAGCTGCAGTGTAGTTCTAATCTAATGCATGTGAATTTGTTTCTGGACATCTTAAATTTAATGTTCAATCAAATTTTCCTTTTACAATTTATAGTTAGAGAACTGGAAACAAGTTTAAATCTAAGGAAGCTGATGGGATTTATTGAATCTTAAAAGTACTTGAAACTTGATCTCATGTGGAAGGGAACTAATTAAAAAATAATCTGAACAAGATCTAATGATGAAGGTAAATGTAAATGAACTGAAAATTTTGATTATAGATTTGATAAGTAAAGGTAAAGAAGTTCCTAATTTAAGATATCATAGTGGTTTCAGGATCTGTAGAAAAAATTCATCTTTAATCATATAGAAATTCCATGATACGTTTCTGAGTGGATTTCATATTGATTTCAAGGCCATGAAAGGAAATTTCCTGTGTCTTTCTCTGTATATAATTACATTTCTTGTTGCTGGTTCAAAAAGAAGAGATTTATTTGGTTGCTAAATACTAATAGAAATATAGAGGTCAGAGAGAGCAGCATAAGCAATATGCTTCTTCAAGAATAATCAAGAATTTACCCAGAGGTAAATTCTTTTCAGCCTTCATTTGGTTCACTAAATTTCACTTTGCTATCCCCGGAAAAATTCCCCTGTAAGTTAGAAAACATTGATGGATGTGGTCGATGATAAGTATGCAACATGATTACACAGCTAAGGAGAATATTAAGATGGGGCAATAGTGCAGACATTTTAAGTTTATCTGAGGAAATATTGGTCATCATTGGAGTTGTATAATTCAAGGACATCTGAGGTGGTGAATACTCAAATGGGTGTTCATTATTTTCTTATTTTACAGTGGCTTGATCATCATTGTTGAGAATGATCCGAGCACATTCCCTGAAGCCTGAAGCTATACAGTATACCCTTTTTGGACCGTGGTTTGAGGATTGGGAGAAATTTGAATAATGTGTTGAAGGGCCAGCAGAACAAATGAAATTAGTAGAGGATTTTCTTCAACATTTCTTTGCTTAATTTTTGGGCTGAAGAATTGTTTTTTTGGCAATTCAAATGATGTTGAAAGAGCATCATACATGCATTTAATGCCATTGAATTTGATACATGACTTGAATATGAATTAAGCTTATTAGTTTGAATTGCTATAATTCGGTAACTATGGTCAACTTGGCAGTGGCAGATGGTGATACCATGATGTCTAACAAATTCAGAAGTGACGTTGTTGTCTCTCTTTGATGGGAACCCACTCCACGTCTACGCCAGCCTCTTTGCCCTTTAGGTAACTAGGCTGATCCCTTTTCCTCAGGCCTTCATGCCCTTTCTCGAGACAGCAGCCCAAGGTCAGCCTACCACATAGGCGACGTCCACCAATTGGAAGGAACCCGCTCCAACAACTCAACAATTGGGCTGGACAATAAGTCTTTTATAGACTTAGGTAAAACTCTCCTCAGAAAATTGGTTTGTCAAAAAAGAGTGTCCAAGCCATTTATAACCCTCATACCCACCATTTTTCCTTCTAATATGGGATCTTTAACACTCTTTCAATTCTGTTGGTTTGAATACATTAACAAATTCTTTGACAATAATTTTATTATATGGTTCGATCAATCTCAGTGTGGGATGTGGTTTTGTCCCTATGCGACCTTAATTTCTCTGTAGATATTCTCTTTGTTGGACAGGTTTTAACATCTTATCTCAATGTACTTTTTCTTGGTTGCTACAATCTGATGCTATAGGTTGAAATCTCCTGGAAATCATCCATGTTGAGGCAGGAAAGTAGAAAGAAAACATAATCCGAATCGCGAATTACCAAAGTTCGCCGTACTTTTGCAACTGAAACAAAAGTTGTAGAATTCATATGCAAGTTGTTTGGACCCTTTTTGTCCATGATCTCTTTCTGGGAAAGGCCTGAAATTGCCATTTTTTACACATTATTGAGTATAAAAGCTTGAGTTGAGGTAAATTTCTATAACATCACCTGAAGATGTTGCATCACTTGCCATTGTGGCCCTTCAACCTTTCATTCTGGTCCCTCTCTTAAAGCATTTATCCTTAACCCAAAAAAAAAAATGACAAGTCCTTGAACAGTCTCAATGCAGATCCCAGATTGCTGTTAAGAGGATCAACAAGTAAAAAACTTAAAGACTGAAAATATGAATGTTTGTTACACTGCGACTGTTTTGACTCTTAGCTAACTCAACTCCGATGATTGAAACCGCCACGCCACCAACTACAAACGTGAATGTGTCCTACAATTCAAAAGTGAAGATAACTCTCCTTAAGAAATTTAAAGCCACCATGTGGCATGGCCTATTGGTCACGTTTCTAATAGCTGGACTTGTTGATGACCACTCAATACTGCAGAGATAGAACTTGTTTCAATTATATTTCTAAAGTGATAAAGATAAAGAGAGGGGGGGGACCTCCCTTCCACTAACTACCACAATAAATAGATACAGACAGACAACAAAAAATTTGTCCATTGAAAACAACCCTTTACCCTTCAACTTGATCTCTTACTGCTTCCTTCCCTTCACTGCCTATAAATTTTAGTATACTGTATTCTCCTTCTGATATAATTTTACATCATCAACCTGCCCTTTTAACCATGGATGCTCCTTCGGATCAAGAGATGTCATATGCAGATCATATCAAGAAGCGCCACGAGGAGAAAGGCTGCCTCTATGCCAGGTTAGTTTTTACACCTTTAAATTTTGGTATTTTCTGCTTTTAATTTCTTTGCGACTTCATATTATACTCAATTCGTGTTATGTTTTGATACGCAGTTTGTTCGCGATGTGCTGCTGCTTTTGCTGTTTTGAAAGCTGTGAGTGCTGCTTGGAAACTATCTGCTGTTGCTGCGCCTAACTGGGAAATTCTGAGACGTTATTTCAGTGGTTCTGTGTTTGATGTTTATATGTTATTGTGTGAATTGTTGTTCAAAGTAGAAAGTATGTGGACAAGCGGTATTTGTCTCATTATTTTTAGTGTAAATCTGGTTTCATTCATGTGTACTCATTTCAGTTTCTTCACTTGTGTAAATTGAGCTTCCCCATTACTTGAAATAGAAGTTTGTTCATCCCAATATTTTGCAGCTTCCTCTTAATCTTGAGGTCCATTAAACATCCTACAAACTCAGAGGATCAGGTAAGCCATAATTTTGTTGTGGTAGGTTACCTCAATGTTTGAATTTAGGAATTCAAGAAAGGAAGCGAACCTCTTTGATCATCGGTCAACCTCTTAGGGTTTTTCCTCTTTATTTTTGGTAGATAAACATTTACAAATTATTCTTTTACTTAAAAGAAATAAATTATTATATTTAAGGAAAAGAACATATCTATTAATCATAGCGAGTAAGACATTAGAATTAGAATTATATAATATCACCATTTATGTGGATTTTTTAATTGGTTTATTTAAGTTTTCTGGACACTTAAAATAATTGTAGTTTAAATAGTTAATTATATAAACCTCCCCTGAATCTTCAACCTTTCACAGGTGCGTAGAAAAAGATCATTAGGTTTGTCGGCAATTTTTTGTTTTAAAGTTAATTGAGGGAAGGGTATAATAGACATTTAAATCAGATTACTAAATCATATATTAAATATTTCAAAATAATAATAAACTTTAAAAGAGGTATAGGACGATCATAGATATTTAGGATGATCATAGATATTCAGGACCACGATTATTTTTTCTTTAAAAAAAATATTATTGAATTTCAATCTACAAAAAGTAATATTTTTGAAAATATACTTTTAATTATTTTTTTCAGTTTTTTTCTTTGCAAACTCTCTTCTCTCAATTAATTTAACATCAAAACTTGATGATAGGAGCTATAAGTGGCTAATTATGGGTGCAAATGTCAATTTTTTACGTTGAAGGTAGTGTAACAACAATAACCCTAATGGAGCCTTAATGAAAATTAAAGGAGTGGGGTGTTTATGTTAATCTAATGATTTTTTTCTATGCATTTATGAAACATTGAAATCTAAAGAGAGGTGTGTGTAATTAACTCTAGTTTAAAAATCAAAAAGTTGAAAATATAACAAAGAATAAGTAACTTGTTTTATTTGATGGAACAAAAGTATGAATCAAACTGGAATTATTGGGCGAGCAAGTAATGGAGATTCAGCCCACAACGGTATCAAATAAACTAACCAAAACGACAACAGATAGACATAAAATAGATAGTGTGAACTGTGAAGTGACCACGTTTAGGAGAAGAATCGAAAAATGAAAAAATTCGGAAGCCACTCTATCAGAGCCAGGTTTCGATCCTGGGACCTGTGGGTTATGGGCCCACCACGCTTCCGCTGCGCCACTCTGATTGTTGATTTTTAGATTACAAATTATACTATTTGTACTATACAACAAGCTGAAATGAATATTCACTCTTCCTGACGCCAGATCCCAAAATATGAACCATTTTCTTTTACAATTGAACAGAATATTAATAGTAGAAAGCGAACAATTTTCTTTTACAATTGGAAATAAATACCATACATCACTGTACAAATTGCATTTACATTGATTTCTCCTTATTTTNAAAGGTGCGTAGAAAAAGATCATTAGGTTTGTCGGCAATTTTTTGTTTTAAAGTTAATTGAGGGAAGGGTATAATAGACATTTAAATCAGATTACTAAATCATATATTAAATATTTCAAAATAATAATAAACTTTAAAAGAGGTATAGGACGATCATAGATATTTAGGATGATCATAGATATCTGGGACCACGATTATTTTTTCTTTAAAAAAAATATTATTGAATTTCAATCTACAAAAAGTTATATTTTTGAAAATATACTTTTAATTATTTTTTCAGTTTTTATATTTTTTTTCTTTGCAAACTCTCTTCTCTCAATTAATTTAACATCAAAACTTGAGGATAGGAGCTATAAGTGGCTAATTATGGGTACAAGTGTCAATTTTTTATGTTGAAGGTGGTGCAATAATAAGAGTAATACTACACATACATCATTTTCATACAATATTTCTCATACAACATTGTGTGGCAAGATATGATTGACTAATTTAAAATTAAAATTAAACTTTCACCTAATCATATCTTGCTACATAATATTATATGAAAAATATTGTATGAGAATAATGTATACATAGTATTTTTCGTAATAATAATAACCCTAATGGAGCCTTAATGAAAATTAAAGGAGTGGGGTGTTTATGTTAATCTAATGATTTTTTCTATGCATTTATGAAAAGTTGAAAATTAACTCTAGTTTAAAAATCAAAAAGTTGAAAATATAACAAAAGTATGAATCAAAGTATCAAACTGGATTGGGCGAGAAAGTAATGGAGATTCAGCCCACAACGGTATCAAATAAACTAACCAAAACGACAACAAATAGACATAAAAAAGGTAGTGTGAACTGTGAAGTGACCAAGTTTAGAAGAAGAATCGAAAAATGAAAAAGTTCGGAAGCCACTCTATCAGAGCCAGGTTTCGATCCTGGGACCTGTGGGTTATGGGCCCACCACGCTTCCGCTGCGCCACTCTGATTGCTGATTCTTAGATTACAAATTATATTATTTGTACTATACGATAAGCTGAAATGAATATTCACTTTCCATGATGCTAAATCCCAAAATATGAACCATTTTCTTTTACAATTGAACAAAATATTAATAGTAGAAAGCGAACAATTTTCTTTTACAATTGGAAATAAATATCATACATCACTGTACAAATTGCATTTACATTGATTTCTCCTTATTTATTTGCCTTTTAATAACAAATGACTAAGCACATTACATATCCTCCTAAGGAACCAAAATTGACTTTCACATAATCATAAACTCTTAGAAGGCGTTTAGTTCAGGAATGTTAGATTACTGAAAATATTGGATTATTAGAAAGATAGATTACCTTGAAAGATTACAAGAAATCTTTAAAAAAATGTGTTTGATTAGTTGATAGGTATGTTATATTAATATGTTTGGTTATAGAGAATAAATTGATGGGTATGTTATTTAAATTACTAAATTGTCCCCTTTTTAAATATTAATATAAGATTATTTTTATTATTAATTTTTGAATAATTTCTTTTAACCTCCAATATTTCAGATTTAGCTAAAACACCCCCGTTTATATAAAACTTTAATTTATGATGAAATCACCCTCACCTCCTGCCGCCACCACAAACCACCACCGAGAATCTCTGAAAGTATCCTTGACTACATCACCGTGACGAGGAGGCTCCGATATGGCCGTTTCTGGCCATATTAATGGCCGAAAACGGCTATATCAAGCCAGATCTTGCCGAAAATGACCAGATCTATTTTGGCCATTTCTGGCCAGATCCCTGGCCATTATCGGCCAGGTCTAGGCAAGATCTGGCCGTTAACGGCCACGAACATGGTCGTTAACGGCCAAATCTATTCCAGCCAGATCTCGCCCAGACCTGGCAGTTAATGGCCAGGGATCTGGCCGTTAACGGCCAATTCCATCGATCTGGCCCGATATGGCTGTTTTTTGCCATCAATATGACCGAAAACGGCCATATCGAAGCCTCCCGGAGTTTCCCACCGAATCTTGTTCTTTTTTGGGGACTCCGATGATTTTCCTAGGGCAACCCATGGTGGTTGGCTCGCCGGCGGTGGTGGTTGGGTAGCAGTGGTGGTGGTGGTGGTGACTGGGCGGCAGTAGTGGTCTGTAAATTATTTTAAATATAAGGGCATTATTGTCCAAAATTTTAATTAAACAAAGGTAAAATTGAAATAGGATATTAATGTAAATTTGATTTAAAGTAAGGGTATTATTGTCCAAAATTTTTATTAATAAGGGATAAAATTGTAACAAAAAATGATAACCCCGGTAATCTCAGAATACCTAAGAAAATGGAGGTAATCAGATTACCTCCCATATTAACAATAGTAACCACTATTGGTATTTGAAGATTACCGGTATCTTATATTACTTGACAACCAAACATGGTTGTCAAGTAATATAAGATACCATTACCAAAGTAATCTCACATAAACCCCAACCAAACGCCCCCTTAAGATATTTGTCACCTACTCATCTAAAATGGATTCCTCCCTTCATCGATTTCGATAAGAAGCAAATGCTTTGGATCTGATCCATTAGGTCCTTACGCGAGTAGAGGGTGGGAAGGTAGGCATTGTACGCAGGCAAATATCGCGACACAAAATCTTTCACCTATAGTGTATCCATCAGGAAAATTTGGTTTCAGAAAATTAAAACATGCCGCCACGCAGATTAAAGCAAATAAACACACCTCTTCATCAGACATTCCAGGGTTCCCGGCCTCCCTCATTGCAATCTCTGCCTGCAAAATATCAACCCCATAATGTAATAAGGCACACAATTACGCTGCCACATTCAAAAGAGTCAGTAATCAAGTAATAAGAGCTACCTGTAAACGCCACTCATAGACACAACTCGGGTCCTTAATTTTGATGACAATCCAAGACTTTATGAACTTGTCCCAAGCATCATAATAAGCTTCAAGATTTTTATTTACGACTTCTAACTGTGAAAGTAACATCGGCAATAATTTTTTTTTTTTAATTTTCATCTGGGATAATGGAATGGAATGGAATAAAGAAAGTGCATAAGCAATTTCATTAAGTGTTAGTAAATATGTTGCAAGTCCTGACCTGTGGGTCAACTGCTTTAACAACTTCTGGAGGAAGAGGTTTGAAACCAAGCATCCAACCTTCAAACAGAATGACCTAAATGATCAACCAAAGCAAATATCAATTGTTAGCATAAACTATATTTCCTAGTCTCATAACGAAGAAGTTAAAATAGAGCGAGAAATCTGACACTGACACACAATACAAGGAATCAGTATTGGATTTGGTCTGTGGACCAAGAAGAAACCTGTTATTTTAACATTTACAGAAATCTATTTTAAGTTCTTGATCCACACAATATGAAAGCAGGTTCAAAATTCATATGAATTGTACTCTATTAATGCAAGGTCTAAGATGAGATTTCTGTTACCGTCAATGGTCCTTCAACCTCTGGCCATGTTGAAGGATCAGCTCTATCACCCCTCCCATTATAAGCAGACTGCATAGGACAACAACTATCATAAGCAGCTTTCAAACCAAAAAAAGTGCCTGGGAACAAGCGAAATTTGGAAATCATTGTGTGCTTACTTTATCATATCGAGGTAGCTTCATCTTTGTACCTGAATGCCTCCAATAAAACCAATCAAAAAAGTAAATAAGAATTAAGTGCAAAAGCAACTGACTGAACAAGACATCTCACCTTGTTTATTCAACTTGCTTACAGCAGTTAGTGTTTCAATAGACAATTGAAGATCATGGCTTCCAGCATTTCCTCGGAACTGACAAAAAATTGAGATAATTTGCTCCGGCACTCCATTAAAATTCACATATATTATTAGGATTCTTAATAGACGAATACCTCTAAAAGTGCATTTCCTGGATGTTCTTCTCTTAATTTAGCCTACATTAAACATGAATTTGCATCATGAGTTGATAACAAAAAGCAGAAGAAAAACAACCAAGTACCAAACAAAAGCAATATTACCTGACCCTCTGCTGTCAAATAGAAATCATCTATGGATAGAGTTGCAGACTTCCTGAAACATGAACTTAAGTCAGTAATGTCAAGTAACAGAGAATTGTGTCTATTTAATAAATTTCTGTTGCACTGCAAGCTACCTGCCAGTTTTTTGAAAAAGATAATCAAGAGCAAAAACAAGTGTTGTCTTTCCACAACCTTGAGGTGCACTGAAACCTATCTGCATTACCATAAATACGTAAGGACCATAAGATCAAAAGAATACTTAGTAATCCGCATTCCTTGCTGGGAACTTTGCATCACTTAAAAAACTTTATCAAAATGTCCACTGATCACAATACCATATACAAGCCAGAAAGCCTTTCCTATATATTAATGAAACAAGCCACAAAATGGTTACCGACGTTGGAATAGAAAACAACACACACATACCACCAAGGGAGGTATATCTTCCCCATCCTTAAACTTTGATCTATGCTGAGAAATTTGATCTTCACACCACAAGAAAACGGGTATGTAGTAGTGAAAAAATCTAGCTTTCTGCGGTATTGTAAGATACAGTTCGTTGAGCTGAAACAATCGAGATAAGTATGAGTTATACGCTATCCACTTGTCCACAGATTCCGCTATCTTCTCCGGGGTCAGTCCCAGCTTCTCTATGAGAGGACCTGAGCATATAAATTCAAAAAGGTCCTGAACAGATGAAATTTCAGCAGGTTTCGTGGGAAAGGCTGAAGAAGATTGGCGCTGCTTCCGTCCAGTACCAGCAGCATCAATTTCATGCATGGAATTTTCTTGCAACCATGAACATCCACTTCCTGCAGAAAGAGTCCCCAAACATAGAAATGAGAAGAGATAAAAAAATACTCATAAGCCCAGCAGAACGCAACTAACGGTTGGTGTTGAGCAGTTCTTTTGAGCACAGCAATCCATGGGGAACTATGTATCTTTAAATCAATCCACAATACACAATTATACACAGCACTAAACATGCTGTTTTCTCCTTTTCTACTCCTGATTTCAGTAAAGAAACGGCCATGAAATCAAATTTATGGAAAGGGAATTACGAAAATTTCAATTTAATATAATTATCTAGTGCAACAAGCAAACAGCAGGAAAAGCACTTACATTTGAAAATTAGGCAATTTTCGGATGTCCACAAGGAAGATGCTTAAAAAGTGAACTAATTTCAATGAATACCATACAGTTTAAGAAAAAAAAAATCAGGACAGGATCAAGTAGTTAATGTATGGCATTTTTATTTTAAGGGAATTTAGCTTATGCAATGGTTAAAATATCAATTTGTTTAATTTGAACGTAATTCATACAGTTAACTGAGAAATTAACCTCCTTTTAACTACACAAGCCTCATACAGCTACATGTCAATCAAAGGCGGAGCCAGCGTTGTCCAGGAAGGGCAAGTTCCTCCAGAATTTTTTTAAAATTTTCTTCAAGTTTCTAACGTTTTTATCTTTTTATTAAAATTCTTCTCAAAATTATCCAAGCTTAGCAAATAAAACATATCAATTTGTTTGCATTTCTTTCCTTCTCTAATTTGTATTACATTTTGAAAAAATATAACTATCAGTATCATTTGAAAACTTAAGTCTTATTATACCATAAATTCTATAATACAAAAAGAAATATCATGAGTAAAATTTCTAAGTGTATATATATATATATATCAGTAAACAATACTTTAAATATAATTAAAGATTATGATTAAAATCTATATTATCTAAATAATTCTTCATATAGGTTTTATTTGTGTTCTTAATCCAGGAAAAACAAAATTTTAAGTACCATTCACTATATATTGAAATACATATAATTGCACCTCCTGAAGGAAAATCTTGTCTTTACCGATGTCAACTGAATTAAATATTCCAGTCTCAGAAACAACAACCAGAAAAGATTCAAAAAACTTAAAACTAATAGAACTGAAATCATGAACTTCAACTTCCACCATAACAAGAACCATATAAACTAACTCTCTTAGGATAAATAAAAAAAAAAAAAAAAATTAAAAAATCGAAACTTTGAATAGAAAATGATAAAAATACCTGATTTAGAGAAATGGGTTGGCATTGGAGAAGATTTGAGAGACGGGTTTGACTTGGCTTGCGAGAAGAGAGAAGAAATAACAGTGAATTGAGTGTCATTAGGGTAAAAAGGGTGTTTACACTTGATATTAATATTATTATAATAAAGATTGTGATAAGTACGAGAATAATTGGTAATATTAAATAAAGAGTTTGTCATTGGAGATGGAGATAAGATGTTCAAAGTTGCCATTGTCATCTGTTTCTCCAAGTTAGTGTCTCTCAAAGAGTTGGACACATAAGACTTCGATGACGATGAGTGCGTATGGATTGGTTACTGGTTTCCTTCGTTAGGAACCAGACGTTCTGAAAGTACTAGAATACCATTCTCTAAAATGAACTGAAAAGACGAAAATACCCTATATTATTTTTTTTTACTAACCTCACATTTTCCAAAATAAAATCAAGTTTCTCGTAAATTTTGATTGAAATTCTGATTTAATTCAATGTTCTACTCGCTTTAAAGGACAATATTATGCTTACAATACAATCTCACAATCTTAACATGGTAACTCACAATGATTAACTTATAATATATTTTGTCTATCTAATTGTAAACGGATTAATTGTAAACTATCACGTTAAGATTGTCTAAGAAATTTTTTAAAATTGTGTTATGAATCCATCTTTATTATACTTTAAATGATGGATTGATGAACTAACAGAGAAGAATAAAAAGGAAAAGTTGCTGGAGAGAGGACAACCGACACTAAGAATAAACTAGAGAAGGAAAATAAAAGGGGTATTTTGGTATTTTCATCTCTATTAGTTGTTTACATGGTGACTATTTTTGAAAGTGGATATTTATCGAGAAACGTTAGAACAGGGTTATTTATGTCAATTTCTGATGTTTTTGTTTTGTTCTCATTCTCAATCAAGTTTGTTGCTGCCGTTAGTTTTTTTTTAACTTCTTTTTCAAGTAAATAAAAAAAAAAAAAAATGATACCCTTACAAAAACCCATACAAAGAAGGTTACAAAGTGATATTATCCAGAAGAAAAAAACAAAGAAAAAACGGAAAAAGAGAAAGAGAGAGAGAGAAACCATGAAAATTAAGAGTGAAGATTGTCTTTGCATACCCTATTTGTATATGTCTTTCAGTCTTTGTAAAACTAATATTGCTCATATGTTGCTACACTAAAATTAATATTTCGTATCTTAAAATGGTATTTTGTATTCCAATATTATTATATTTTCTTTGAAATTTGGTTTTAGAGTAATAATTAAATTTAAGAAAGAAATTAAGCCTGGTAAAATGCCTTCACATTTAAGGCTTCTTTTCCCTTATAATTTTTTTTTGTTTTTTTTTTTTTTGTAAGTAGTATCATTTAGAAAGAATATACAAAGAGACTATAAAAAAACTGACCATCCTACCTCAGGATAGCGCTTAGGATAGGAACAAAAATATAAGTCTAATAAATTGAAAGCCTAATCTCCTCTTGTTTGTCTGTCTTAAACACGTAAATAATAAAAGATAAAAGATGAGAAGAACACAAAGACAAAGACATCCTACCATAGAACATGCCCTGGGATAGGATCCAAAAAAGAAAAAACTTAAACAAGACTAAAAACAATTATACATATCATCATTCCTACCTCAAGATAAGCCTTGCGGTAGGAGAACCTATGAAAAGGAAAATTCTCATTAATAAGAAGCACATAGGCAATTGCAATTTCCAACTAAATAACCAATTAGAAATCAATAAATTACTCAAATTACAGTTAATGTTTAGGTAAAAAATGATGAACACTAATCTTAAACAAGAACAGGAAGGCAAATTACAAGAAAAACAAAATCAGGGAGTTGAGCCTTTGGTTGCCAAGATTACATTCAAAGAGTTACATTGTCTCTCACAGACTTTACAACCAGAAAAGATTAATTTCTCGAGCACTGATGGATGATGTACGAGTATTGAATGAGTAAAGATAATAATATTGACAGTTTGATACTTAAAATTCAAACTTAGTGGGAAGTCATTCCTGCATTGCCAAATACAAACCTTACAAAAAGACGCAGTTTTGGAAGAACCAAAACTCAGATGGAAGTGGCAAGAACATATGAACAAAGACTACAAAGATTGAGAAGAAAATGAATTTAACTCTAGAAACTAAGAATTAGACATTGTACAACCAACCTCTCGTGGAGAAACTAACAAAAGCAAAGCAACTTCCACCTGAAAGCTAAATGTTATCTGTTTGCAGCCCCCTCCCTATGTAGATGACTCACTTAACCACTTGTCTTCAAAAAAGTGTTTCAAGCAGTCTTGGAGATGACAAAGTTCCGACAGATTTAAACTGCCACAACAACGCCCGTTAGAGAACTTTTACAGTCTCAATAAAATGTACATCACTTAAAGTTTAGGTCTTTTGTTTGAGAAATGTGACAATCTATGATATAAGATGAAAAAAAAATGTAAATGCAGTATCATGCAGACTTGTTACCTTTTGTTGCCGATACTTCATGCGTATGGCATTCAGAGGACAACCATTGGTATTCAGTTGTAAGTCTTGTAATGCAAACGCTGTCATCTTCAGATCAGATGGCTTGTAGGAAGTGTAATGTTCAAGAGTTGCATTCTGCCAAAAACATTATGTCAGGCTATTGGATTCCAACAGTATAGGAAAAACCATGTTTAAAGACTGATAAGGAAGAGAAGTATGCAGACCCATGGGTGACATAATTGATCCAGTGTCCATCTGGCAAGAAACACAGCTGACGCAGCAATGACGGAAGGAAGGAAATTCAAGAAGCCATTATCCACCAACGTCAATTCTGCTAGGAAATTGGCCAAATACTCCAATTCAAGGCTAGGGCTCTGCAAATTTGCATTTCAGTAAGTTAGTCTTTCTTTAAACAGAAAGAGTAGGTATCAAATAAACCAACCACATTACCTTGTAAGAAGCTTGTGCTGCTCGAAGAAATCTCCTGAGACCCAAAACAATTTCCCAGAAAAATATATTAGGAATATCATAGCATATTCTATAATGCATGTCTAAACATTGAATGAGCTGGAGTACCTCAGAAAGGTTTTTGCAGTTGGTGCAAATAATTGAAAGCCAAAATGTTTTAGTACACGTATCTCCATCTTTAGAACCTGTAAAATAACTTTCCTCAGGAACACAAACAAAGTTTCTCAAGCAGGGAGAAGGGATAAATGAAAGGTTGACTCTGCTAGTGATGCAATATAAAAAAGTATTCTGGGTAAATAGATCTGAAATACGTAAATTTTAAAGTAGAAAACCTATGCTTACATTAGTGAAGATGCACTACTTTATATCACTCACTTGAACACAAAAATTTTCCACATTTCGGTTCATGACTGTTAAGCATTTTAAGTGGCTAGAACCCAAGACATACCTCCTCTCTTGTGTAAGTGTTGTCAGTGATGAAGCAAAATTCTTCTACTCGTGGTGCACATATTTCTTCATACTTCCTTCAAGTCATATAGAGAAACCCACATTAAGCATTAAATCAAATAAACTAAAAAAATAGCCATTATATGCTTAACAATCATACTGGATGATGAGGCTACTTACATATTTAATATACATCAGCATAACAATAACTGACTATAAAGTTATGCAAGCCTTATAGTCAATCACAATCATTAAATATAGAGCTGTGCTATGGAGTATGAGAGCTTACGAGGAAATCAACATGCAAGTGATGCCAAGCAGTTGAAGTTTTTGTCTTTCAATGTAATTTTGACTGAGAAACCAATCAATGAGGTATACTGTCATGTAAAGCGTATCTGGCACCAACTTATATTCTTCAGAGACCTGAAACCAAGAATAAATTAATTTGTAAATTAGCCATTTTGGCATTTATAATTTGCATATATAACCCTGCGAGGGCTTTACATCACTAAAAACGGATTTGAACTGCCAAGAATAAAATTACTTTCTCAACTTGAAAGAGACACTAAATTGAAACTCATTTCTAATGCTAGTATAAAACTTTCGGAAAATGAATAATGCTCTGTGAATGATATTCACAATGCTAAGAAAAAAACTAAAGACAACATGATGAGCACTAAAACAGCAGCCAGAGCCAGCAAAGACAAAGTTCTTTGTACTTCTTTTTTTTCTAGTTTGTTTTTTTATTACTATTCCTTTCTGCTTTTGGGCAGAAACAGTTTCACTCTGTAATAGCCATTGCAACAGTCTTTAAAAAACAAGGCCATAAAAGGCTCATGCCTCAGGATAAACCTCAAAATCTAAGCTTTGTAGTAAAAAAAATGCATTACTCAGATCATTTAAAATAACAAATTCAGGTAATGAAACTATTCTAACCTCCACAAGCCAATCAACCAGAATCCCCCGCATGGTTTGAGTTATATCACGTTGTATTGTTTCCATAAAACTAGGAGATGGTCTTCGGATGAGCTGTAGAAACCAAATATTAGGCCATGATTTAAAGATTCTTGCAGCATTGAATATGCCTATGCATCATTTCATTCCAGTGCAGCCATAAGCTATAATGTTATAGGAATAAAAATTATATATATTCATCCTAGATTTGCATGTTCTATATTTTAATGGTCATTCTCATAGTTCCATGATTTAGAGAAAATTGCTTATATGAAACAGCAACAGAGGAAAAACATGAATGCTATAGAAATAAAAGAATGGTATCTACACCACCAACCTCAGCAACACGCAAATTGCTGTAGATATCAGCAGCATAGAGGCTGCACAATTGAGGATCTGTATCATCAGAGTCAATGTTCATGTAGTCAGGATCACATGATGTCATCAACTTCTCATGAAGGCTGCCTTTCTCCTCTGTAACCATTTGAAACAAAAATGTCACTGATTTTTTCTGCATGCAACTATTTAGGATAAAAGTAGTCAACATATGTAAATCAGATACTAAATACAAAAGCTCCCACAACTATATTCATCAGGCATTCTAATCCCATTCATGAACCAGTAATAAATTAGTACATAAAAGTTGTCCTGCTTGGGGGTGAGAAATGGAGGACTTGCAAACCTTTATTTGGAGAACTTTGAGACTCTGAAGGCATCAGGGAACTCTGGTCTGCAATCCTTTGATTGTCTATGCCACCCTCCTGAATAGTAGTTGAGCGCAGAGGTTTATCTGTACCCAAACTAGTTGAAAGTTCTTCCGGTTTAGATTCTTCTTTCACTATGTCTTTGATGATTTTTGTTTTTGAATTCGCTTGAACCTGCAGCGGTTCTACAGAAACAGAAGGAACCACTTTGGTTACCCTGGTCTGACCTCTTTTTGCCTGCTTAATGTTTTTAGCCTGGAAAGAAAACATTAACATTACTGACTGGTAAAGAAAAATAAGAAGTTCTAAACACAATTAAATTTAACCACCCAATTAGATATGCGATAATACAGATATTTTCAATTGTAAATCATAACAAAAGATACTTTAGCATGTGCTACTGTAACAAGGATGAGAAGAATTTGAATCAAAACTGTTCATGCAATAAATACATCTATCCATAGATGAAATTAGCCAAATCAGGAGCTTGTAATATATGCAGTAATTAGAATGAATAAGAGTATACAAAGCAGAATTGTGAACAAACATTGAGGAAAATACAGTAACCTGAATTTTAGTTGCATTAAAGCAGCTCTTGTAAGAACTCCCACAGAAAACATTTGTGGCATCCTGAAGCACTGCTCTTCTCTTATGCTGATGTTGTGGATTATCAGGTGCATTGTTGTTGTTCTCATCCAAGGCTGCTCGTTTTGGATTTCCTCGCAGAGCCCTTGTTTTATTTTCTTCCCTAGGTGCTTTTGAAGGAGGCATCTGTCCAGCCGAGCACAAGGCAGCAGCTCGAGCACGTGTTACTCGTCCAGCAAATTCTCCAAAATTAGAAGTCATGGAGTTCTGCTTCTTCATATTTACAGGCCTCGGAGGAGAACAACACAAAGCATTAAACAAAACTAGAAAGTTTGTACCTGCAACAAACTAGCCATATCAGAACCAAGCAAATTCAAATACAGGAACTCGAGATGAAAGGTTCAACAGAAGCACACTTAAGAGAGAAAAGCAGAAGAACCAGAGATCAGAATAATGTAACCAAAAATTTTGTCAGTCTTATCAATGAATTTGTCAGATCTTGAACTTTATATTGGTCAAACTTTCTTCATGAATATACATTATCAAATAGGCAGTTATTAAAGATGTTACTCTATCTCATTACCAAGAAATTTATTGAGTCTCAATTTATATAATCAGAAATCTCAAATCCACTAGCTTTTTTCCTCCAAATTGCACACAAACAACATCAAAGCACTAAATTATTCTTGCAATATAGAGCTACTAAACAGATCATGTATTCCTGCCCAATTTTCACAAAGAATTTCTTGGGATGTCTTTCCAAGTTATACAGTCATTCACGGAAAAACTTAGTAAAGCTCAGAAAAATTTATCAAGTATCTAGGATTAGCTTGACAAGCCTCAACATGAGGAAAATGACAAACTAATGTGAAGAATCCAAGGAGCAAACCATATATAAACGAAACTACAAAATGCATGAAAATTTTCAAACTCCTAGATGTGAGAAAATAAAAACAGATTCAAAATGTGAGCCCAAATTTCTGATGAATTCAAAAAAAAAAAAAAAGAAGAGAAAAGGACAGCACAAATCCAAAAAACAAAAATAAGAGAAGGAAGGAAAAAAAAATTCAAAATCTGTACTCTGTTATACTCCTCCTAATCTTGTCTAGAAATCTATGTTCTATGACTTCAAGAATTTTCCAATTTATAACAATTAAAGTGACTGAAAACAAAATTAGGAAAAAGATTTTAAAAAATTTAGTCTCACCACAAATCAAGCAAAAAGAAACAAAATGTTTCCAAAAATAAAAACAAATCATCTAACACAAACAAAAACTGAGCCACATTATACTCACTTAACTTTGATCAGCAATCCTCACTCTCTCAGATCCTAGTAAGCTAAGCAAAAGCCTTAAATTTTCATCTCCCTTTCCCACATTTTCTCAGCAACCATACTAAACCCATATCCCATCAAGAACGCAACACCAAACCCACATTACAAAAATTCAAACTTTTAAAAAATTAAAGCAAACCCTAATCAATGTGACAGCAAATAAGCTTCAAAAATAGCAATTCAAGAAAATATAGAGACATAAATACAAATGGGTATGTTCATATATGTAAATGTATGTACCTAGACGTATGTATGGATTGAAATTAACCTGATTTTCGAGTTCTAAGATTCAAAAGGCAAGCTTTAGAAAGAGAAAGAGCGTCGTTTTTAATATATAGAGTTGAGAGAGTGAGGTGCCAGCTATGACTATGAGCGGGCGGGATAGTGAGAGGTTTAAACTCAAGAGGAATTAAAATATATTAAAATAAGATGAAGTATATTTAACTTTATCATATAATAAGACTTCAATTTTTATTATTATTATTTGACCCAATAGAAAAATCCTAAATTGTTTATTTAAATTAAATAAATATAATATGACCTAAAGTCATGTGATTACTATTAACTTATAATAATACAATTCCCAGTGACAATGACACTTCTGAAAATTAATTTTAGTAATAACATTTCATAAAAATTATAAATTTTTTATTTTTATTTTTTTAATATAAACAAAATTTAGTGGCATATAACACTATATTTATATAATATCTAGAAAGCCGAATTTTTTATTTAAAAAATAAAATAAAAACCTTAAAAAGTCCCTCGATGAATAAACATATTATATTTATTTTTAATTTATTTTGAGTATTAATATTATTATTTATTGATATAATGGGAAAGTTTCCATAAATATGTTTGATTAGAGGTTGAGTGTTGACTAAAGGGAGGAAGAAGACAGAGCTGATGAGATAAGATGGTGTTAATTTAAGTTTTGTGATTAGTCTTTGATTAACAATAATTTTGCGAGATCTAGGTGATTAGTTTCCTGTATTTACGTGTTTGACCCCGGGATTTGTGGGTTATTACTCCATGGTAACGTTGACTTGTTCATTGCTATCTGAGGGGTAAATTAGTCATTTAAATAATCAAGTTTCCCTTTTTAATGACTGTACTGAGGAGGAGAAAGTGGTAAATGGTAATCCTCTGTTTGTGGAGAAATTAGCAAGGAATTATTGTTGATTTATTCAAAAGGGTTATTAAGAATTAAATGCATTTTTAAAAAATTAAACCCACTTAATCAAATTGATTATATTTATTTCTAATGATCTTAAATTTGTTTTTGTGTAATAAAATAATGATTAGAGTTCAATTATAATTGTTATAATTCATTAAAAATTTAGTTATTTTCATGGGTGTGTCTAGGGGTAAAATCGAGTCAAGCAGATCGAGCTCGACTCGGCTTTAGCTCAAATTCTACTTAACATTAGTCGAGTGAAGTTCGAGTAGATCGAATAATTTCATAAGTCGAGTTCAATCATTATACAAAAAGCTCGAAAAACTCAACTAAAACTCGATTAAGGAGCTCGAATTCAACTTTTAAGTACCGAGGTCGAGTTCAAATTAGATTCATCATGCTCGAACTCGGTGTTGTAACAATCGAGTCGAGTTCGAGTACCTAGATACTCGACTCGATTTCACGCGTATCTATTCAGATTTCAAAGTCGAGTGGGAGCTAGTGACCCCACTCAAAAAAAATATTAAATAATTTTGTTTAGTTAAAATTATTTTCCATAGATTAGTTAAAAGAAATGTGAAATGGTTAATTTGATGTTAAATTTGAATTTCAATTAAATTGGAGGTAAAATTGGTTAATTATGAAAGTATAATAAACAAAGGTGAAAAGTTTTGAAAATTTGAAAGTTAAGATGGGAAATTGGAATTTTATTACAAATAATTATCATGTGATGTTGGCAGCTTTTATGACGCATGTTTTGTTTATCTTCAATGTTATCTGGACCCCATATGTTAGGAACTCTGAAAAGTCAATTCTAACCAACCTTTTCAAATTTGTTTTGTCATCGACAAAGGATAATAGGGTCATTTTGAAATCGCAAGTAGCTAGTTTAGTATTAATAATGGCTTACCACAGAGCAAGAGCAAAAGCAAAAGTAAATCTAGGATTTGATTATCAAATTGTCACATGATTTGAATATTTGAAGTTTAGGTTATGGTCTTCATTATTGTTATGTTGTAATGAAGAGTATGCACGTTCATTAGTTGGGTAATTTGGATCTTTCATTTACAAGTTTATAAAATGCTTTTTCTATTTTTAAAAAGCAACATCGTCATATTTAACTTTTTTTTTTTTTAACCCAGGTGTTCAGACAAGTATACATGCACCTCAGCTAATCCTTGGGGTCTATTAAACACTTTATAAGCTTAAAGAATCAAGTAAGTCATAAAGTGGTTGATAGCCTCGGTGTTTGAATTCGAGAACTTAATGAATGATACAAACCTCCTTGACCATTAGACGAATGCTTTGGAGTTGACTTTTATCTTATAATATTAAGTTTAAAGAGATTGGATAAAAAGACTTTATTCAACCCGTGTTTTAAAATACTAGAATTTTCCCATAAATTTACAAAATGTTTTTTCTATTTTAAAAAACTACATCGTTATATTTGACTCTTTTTTTCTTTTTTTGATAATCAAAGTGTTCGGACTGATTTATACATACTCTAACTAATCTCTAAGACCTATTGAACACTTAACCAGGTAAATCATAAAGTGTTAGGTGGCCTCCAGGTTTGAACTTAAGAACTTAATGAAATGAACAAACTTTTTTTATCGTCAGGCTAACCCTTAGGATTGACTTCTATCTTACTATATATTAAGTTAAAGTTTACATTTCCTTTGTGTAAGGTATGCAAGGTCGCAATTAGGAATTATTTATTTATTTATTTATTTATTTTGTGATATAACACCCCTTGATAAACGACTTTTTAAAGCAAATCATCACAATTTGAGAAGATTTTTTTTTTTTTTTGTTAAAAATAAGATATGCATCTGCTCATAAAGATATCATTTACCTTATTCCTCAACATGCATTTGTTATACAAAAATATATTTAAATTTTAATTGGAGTTTTGGTTTAAAAAATAATTGGAGTTGAATGTCATTTATGTAAGGAAATATTCAATTTAAAACATAACAATAAAGTAAATTATTGATTAAAAGACTATTACCTTTAATAGTCAAACATATCAAATGAATGATGAATAAGAAAATGTTTTATTTATGCTTTTCAATATTAGAATGATTAATTACTTTTTTACTTAAAAAAAAAAATTACGCAAATTTTAGAATAAAGCAATATTAAAAAGTTAAATACTAACTTGAGAATGAAATATTTAAAAAATAAAGGTTATTTTATAAAGCTTAACACATTTTTTTTTTCTATAAAGCACTCTCTAAGTTGGGCCTTTGAATACATGTATTTGTATTTGTATTTTATATTTTGTATAGTATTTTAGTCATTTATCCTTATACTTTGATGGTGTTTGAGTGGATCTATGGATGTGATATGTCAATGTGATAGGCTAAGGCCCATTGGGCTTTTCGATCTACGGAAAACGTTCTTTTTTATATTGTCCAATTTATAACATTTTATATCAGCAGAAAATCACCTGTAATTATTAAAAAAAAAAAAAAAAAATCTCTCTGTTACCATTTTGATAAATTCGAAGGGTAAAATTGTATTTTCACTTTTATTGAACACAGTAGTAAACCTTCTTACTTAACATGTTTTGTCTGGGTCCTATAATAAAGTCTACGGTGTTTGTTTTTTCAGATATAGGGTTTTTGAAGGGGAAATTATAAAGGAAGAGCTACGGAAAAAAATAAATAAATAAAAAGAGGGTACATGAACATGATATAAGGATGTAATAGTCATTTCTCACAAATTCTTCAATGAAAATGTAAGACAATCAATGTTTTGGGTGGTAAGTGATTTTCTCCTCTATATTATAAATTTTACTTGTAATTACCTGCTGCCATTCAATAAGGTAATTTGGATTAGAATTAGGACATATTATATGCAAAAGTTATATCTATTATAAGAGATTTGAATTAGAATTAGATTTATTATATCTATCAAACAGAGATACAACTTTCTTTCCTAAGGTTGATTGGACTAGGATTGGATTAGATTATAATAGTATTATCTTATTTTATTTTTTATTTTTTGATAATCGGGGCGTCCGAACTAGTTTATGCGTACATTAACTAATATGTAGATCCATTGAACACTTTATAAGTCCAAAGGATCAGGTAAGCCAAAATTTTATTGTGATTGACAACCGTAAGGTTTGAACCCAAGAACTCAAAGAAGTAAGCAAACATTTTTAAGCCAATCCCTTTGGGTACTGTCTTGTGTTTGGTGAAATATGGAATTGGATAAAAATATTGATATTAAAAACATTAAATATAATTTACTAATAATTTTTAAATTATTAAACTTTTACATTTTAAATTAATAATTAAATAAATATATAAATTTGTATATTAATAATTAGTAATAATTATATAAATAAATTATTTTATAATATTTTTATCATAAATATTTTAATATTAATTATAGATTATAAATAATTAAATTTTTTAATGTAAAAAGGAAAAAAAAAGTTAATCCAACTTGGCGTAAGTAATCCGATGGCTACTGCCTACTAGTTATCCCATCACTTGTCCCAATCGTTTGGGAATTGGGATAAATAAAGGGGACTATGGGTTGGAAAAATAGTCCAATTCCATGTTTGGACTTTGGATGCATTTTTATGAGATATAATCCAATCCCATGGCCCATCTATAATCTGAAGTTGGGACAAACTTTTTTTTTTTTCACTTTTTATTCTATTAAACAAATTAATAATTTAAATTTAAATTTATAAAAAATATTTTATTATAGAAATATTATATATATTTTCAAATATTATTATTAATAATATCTTAGCTAATTAATATTTCCATAAATAATTTTATATTTAAAATTTAATATTATTAAAATATTTTAATTTTCTTATATTTAATTTAATTTTATATTAAAACAATAAATTAAAATATTTTTGTTCATAGTATGAAAATAATTATCTATTGAGTCAGGATACTACGTCTTACACTTTTTTCTTAATTTTTTTTTTATACTTGGTAGCATGCCGAATACACCAAATTAATTAACCTTACTAACCTCACTACTAAATTGTATATAGGCTGAGCAAGGGTCGATCCCACAGGGAATGATTCGATTAAATCTTATATTCTATGTCAATAACCACAATGAAAACAACAGAAAAATACAATATAACCCTAAACAGTAAACAGGATAACAAAGTAATGAAAGGGGGTGTG